CCTGCAATTCTGTATTGTGCTTCACATTGTGGACACTAGCTGTAATTCTGACAGAAATTAACAAATGTGACATATGTATCAAATATTGTTAGGTGCTTCGTTTTTGGCATTGTCAATTGCGTATGCTATAGCAACTCGATACTTTTGTGAGAAAGCTTTAACCTGATAACGTAGAGACCATACTTTATTCAGACTAACATGCCTCACACACAAAAAAAACACGGCCGATCACAAGATGCAGTGAAGCGTGCATGTCCCTCTAAGAGCGTCTCTAGCCGTTGGCCCTCCAGGAGGCATAAAAATCACCCCCTGGGGGCGAGCCGGCGATACGATCGGCACTGGAGGTGATTGGGCATCCAGTCGTCGCCATCAGGTATCGAGATTGGCCTAGTTTTCAGCCCACTTTCGGCGAATAAAAGCCTCATATGGACGAGAATCGGCCCATTGCGTGGTTCGCCGTGGCTTGGCGTTCAATTATGAACATAAATATTTTTTTATCACATAGTTCATCACAGAAAATCAAATAGTTCAACAAAATAGTGCAACAACAAATAATTCAATACAAATTATATAGTTCAACAAATAAAAACTCATATTTCATCACACCTCGAGCCCGGCGTCGCCCTTGAGCCTCCATAAGTGCTCCACCAGATCCTGCTGCAGTTGATGATGCACCTATGGGTCTCGGATCTCCTGACGCATACTGAGGTAGGCAATCCAGTTTGCCGGTAGCTGGTGATCAACTTCGGCTAGAGGACCCTGCCTGTCGTATGGTTCAGTGTCAAACACTGGCTCTTCCTGCTCGCTCTCGATGATCATGTCGTGCAAGATGACACAACAAGTCATGATCTCCCACATTTTATCTTTCGACTAGGTCTGAGCAGGGTAGCAGACAACAACAAATCGAGATTGGAGCACACCAAAAGCCTGCTCGACATCCTTCCTGCAAGCCTCCTGCACCTTGGCAAAGTGGAACTTCTTGCCTCCTGGCACAACGTTTGAGATAGTCTTCACAAATGTAGACCATCTCGGATAGATGCCATCAGCTAGGTAGTACCCCTTGTTGTAGTGCCGCCCATTGACCTCGAAGTTCACCAAAGGAGAATGACCTTCAACAAGCTTGGCAAAGACAGGGGAGCACTACAGCACGTTGATGTCATTGTGAGTTGCTGGCATACCAAAGAAGGAATGCCAAATCCAGAGATCATGTGTGGCCACCGCCTCAAGTACCACACTGCAACCGCCTTTGGTGCCTTTGTACATCTCCTGCCAAGCAAATGGGCGGTTCTTCCATTTCCAATGCATGCAGTCGATTCTTCCAAGTATCCCAGGAAATCCTCTTGATGCATTCTGTGCTAGGATCCGAACAGTGTCTTCGACATTGGGTGTTCGCAAGTATTGCGGTCCAAACACTGCCACGACTGCGCGACAGAACTTGTAAAAACACTCAATGGTGGTGGGCTCGGCCAGGCGCCCATAGTCGTCGAGCGAATCACCGGGAGCTCCGTATGCAAGCATCCTCATCACTGTCGTGCACTTCTGGATCGAGGTGAATCCAAGTTTGCCGGTGTAATCGTCCTTCTTGCATTTGAAGTAGCTGTCGAACTCCCGCATGGAATTCACAATCCCGAGGAAAAGCTTTCGGCTCATCCGATAACGGAGCCGAAATGCTTTTGTCGCCATGCAGTGGAGCGTCGGCGAAGTAGTCGGAGTAGAGCATGCAGTAGCCTTAGAGGATGCCGGTTCTTTGCTTTCACCCGGACTGGCGCCGAGCCACCTCGCCGCAGCTTTTCATTGCTCGCCAGCAGCTGGGCGAGGGCGGCGAGCACCATGAGATGCTCTTCTTCCTGGACGTCGGCCTCGGCTTCCTCCTCTAGCAGCGCGGCGACTGCTTCCTCGTCATCCGAGTCCATCGCCGAGGTAGGCAAATCGCCAAACACCTTGCACCCGGCGGGCGTGTACCCACCGCTAAACTGCCCCTCCATGGCCGGAAATGTCCAGCTGCTCATGGAGGGGCTGCCTCGGCGAATCTTTGCTATTTTTCCGGCGGGGATTGGCTATCTAGCGGTGAAGGGCGGGGGGCGGCGGGCGGCGCCGGGATACAGCTAGTGGCGGCCGAGGGCGCAGGGGGTGGGAGGCGAGCCAGGGAAGAAAAACTTGACTTTTCACCTGACGGTGTGGGCCAGCCACGCTTTTCCCTTGCGCCAGAGCCCCCGATCACCCCCCAGTGCGCCGGGTTCGGCCTGCGACCGCCGGGCCCAAAAATGAGCCGAACCGGCGCTTTTCGATGTCCTGGGGGCGCGACTGGGGCGGTTTTTTGGCGCTGACGCTGAAAAAGTGACCTGGGGGGGCTGTTGGGGGCGCGCCTGGAGATGCTCTGATTCATGTCACTTTGCCATGAACTACTTTCAATATAGAGCTAAAGTACGTAATTTGCGTACTCTCGGAAAAAAGTCATTTTGCTATGAATGTTGTAATTTAAATTGGATATTAATCTTGTAGTCTTTTGCTATGAATGTTACAATTGCTAAAAGTTACTAGATTTTTTCTATGAATATATTAGAATTTCTTTAGGATGCAAGGTTCTATGTTTATTCTTATCTTTCCCAATCCCATCTCATCTTTGTCTAATGGTGGACGTAAATCAGAGGGGTCCTTTTTACTGATGGGCAGATATGGCATACTCGTTGGCTTTCGATGCTCAATGATGACACTTTGTGCGAACCACATGATATATGAGTCATTTTTCTTTTGGCTTAATTTTAGGTTTTGCTTCACCAAAATTTATACTTGGGTTGCACTCCTTGAATTTTGGCAACAAATTTGGATCTCGCTGATGATGAGAAAACACATTATAAGATAGAAACTAATATATCATCTAGGCTTTGAATTAATAACTTGGACCTTGATGTCCTTTCCAATCGTTCGCGGGTGATTTTGTATCCTATCCGATTATGTATATGCTACAAACTGTCTCAATATTTGTTTTGTGATTATTACATAACCGGTTAGGATGAGGAGTGCTTATGTGTTCAATGGAACAGTTTTGGTCCAAGTCATTCTTTTGCAAAACTAGCTATATGAGCAATTTTGCACCACTCTAAATATCTCGACCGAGGCTCTAAATGACATATATTTGGGTACACATGGATAGACTGGATATGTGCGACGAGATCGACGATCGATGGTCTAGACATATAGAGGCGAGATGGACAACAATGACGTAACCAACAAAATCTATTGCAATGTATAGATGCTAAGTGATAAGGGTGAAATGCGATGTTAATAATATGCTGCCATAGATGATATGTGACAAATAGAGACTATGCGATGATATGCAACATGTGTTTGTATGTGTTGATATGCAATGTTGACACTACGCTTGTATGTTTTGATATGCACTATTTATACTATGCTTGTCTGTGATAATGTGCAATATCTTACATATGATATCATTTGTTATGTCCATGTACATATGTGTACGAGGCGGTGCAATCCTAACTGCCAAAGCCACCACCAATCATGACAGACAAGTCGAAGTGGGACAATCGATCACTACCCACCAACCCTTGGCTGCCCGCAACAATTATCACTAATTGATCAACCTATTAGTGATGTTGGTCATTATTAATGGTCGATCGACCAGCCAGTGATATCTTAATACGGCCTTTCTTTGGGTAGCCAAGTTTTTGGTTGGGCTTGCGAAAGCCCCGAGTGTCGAATGTTTAGCCCGAGCTTGGCCCATATCCCGAACATTTACTGAAACACAGAGTTGAGCCCATCCACACACTAAAGCCAAAGCCAGAGGCATGCCTCGAAGTTTGACGATAGTGACAAAGTCAACATAATAATCAAAATGACATAACATTCATCAAGCCTGATTTAGATAAAATGACATCACCATAAATTCAACGATCATATATTACACATCCACATAAAAAAATGTACGAGAATCTTATCTTCGCAAAAATAACGTAAAATAAATCCTCACAGGATACAATTAAAGGAGAGGTTTATAAGAAAATGTGACAAAGGAAAAAAACACTAGCGACATCGGTAATATTTTGTTGCAAAACTTGTTCTATCTCAAGCATTAGATCGTTATGTCTGGTTGCAAAGATTGTGAACATAATTTTTTTCAACACTAGTCTGGATTTTTCCTAAGGATGGCACTAGTCTAGACTTAATTATGTACTACCTTAAAACATTTTGGATGACTAAAAGTTGTTCACCTCTTTCTCGAGTCGTAGTTTAGATTAGATAGATAAGTTGCTTATAATGGAATCTGTATTCAAGTTTTATATCTTACACGGGTGTTTGCAATTTTTTGGATTTGTTGCAGATCTGTATGTTCAGCGGGAGACAATGTACATGTCGACTACAAGTTATGTGTGATGATTTTGCAACTATTGTAAAGAACGAATTGAGCGTAACTGTGATGGTTCAAGTTTTAGACTTAGCATTGGTGGTCACATTTCCCAGAATTTATTTCAATTATTCCGGTGATGTGCATTTGGTACGATGAGACATTTCCGTCAACTTCAAAGGCGTTTATGGCAACTTTGTTAATCTTAAGAGGAACTCAGTCTCTAAGAGCCTTCATAGGGCGAGTGTATGAACTAGTAACAAATAATTTGTTCAAAATTTAAAAAGTCACGAAAAAAAAGGGACAAAGAAAAGCTATTTTTAATGAAAAAAAAGAGAAAAATTGTTGGAAGAAAAACTGACGCCGTTGCTAATCGGTAGTGGCGTTGCTAACACGCAGTTCAGACGGTGACCCTACGCCAGGGCCTCGCCCATTACGCTTCCAGCGGGCCCCACTTATGTGGCGGCGCCTCTCCCTCCGTGGTACACAAAAACCCTAGCGCACTGCCCTTTTACGGCCGCCCCCCTCATCTCGACCGACCTCCCAATACTTCCCTAGGCGTCTCCCTTCGTCCCCCCCTCTCGCCGCCGCGTCGACTCGGAAGTAACAAGCGCGCTGCCGCCCAACCCTTCCGATGGCGGACAAGGAGCCCGTCGTGGAGCGCCCCGTCGCGGAGGAGGAAGGCGAGGACTCCGCCGCCGCGGCCGCCGCCGGCGAGGAGGAGGACACCGGTGCCCAGGTCGCCCCCATCGTGCGGCTCGAGGAGATCGCCGTCACCACCGGCGAGGAGGACGAGGACTCTCTCCTCGACATGTAAGCCCCCCCGCGTTCCCCCTAGGTTTGCTCGTTCGGCTCGATCTGGCGCTGATTTTGGGACGGGTTCGTGCGGCGGTGCGCAGGAAGGCGAAGCTATACAGGTTCGACAAGGACGGGAACCAGTGGAAGGAGAGGGGCACGGGCACCGTCAAGCTGCTCAAGCATAAGGAGAACGGCAAGGTCCGCCTTGTTATGCGCCAGGCCAAGACGCTTAAGATCTGCGCCAACCACCTAGGTTTGCAGTTGTTTCCTCAGATTTTGCTCCTTTATTTCCGATCTCTCAGCTGCTTCAAGTAGATTCATCACAGGATCTCATCTGACGGTTATGGCCTTGATCCTCTGTGTGTGCAGTGATCTCGACCACGAAGATGCAGGAACACGCCGGCAGCGACAAGTCCTGTGTCTGGCACGCGGCAGACTTTGCTGACGGAGAGCTTAAGGATGAGATGTTTGCCATCCGGTTTGGCACCGTGGAGAGTGAGTTCTCAACTCTGTTTCCGCATGGGTGTGTCTTGCGTGGGTGGCTTGGTTGGATAACATGCTAGATCACCCTGTTTGTAGCATTAGTAGTTTCTTCTGTATGCTTTGTGAGACACTAGTGAAACATGACCTGGTTACATTCTATAGCTGAACCTTGTGTTTTGTCTTGACCACGTGAATTTTTCTTTTACCAATTTATTATTTGCAAGGCTCAGTGGATCATCAGCAAAACAACATATTTAGGGTGTGTGTTGGCACTCTTTATCAGAAATTACATCTTAAGCATGTGATCTTGTAGTAATCTACTATTTGGGATAAAGGATCATAAAAAATACCTTTCATGATTGGGGGTAGGTGGATTGGGTATAATAAGGGTAACGTTCCAAGAGGCAAGGCCATTCCTTGTCAGAGTGAAGGTGACACGACCACAACCTATCATTGTTTTCATGTGACTCTTGATGTTTTTGAATTTGTAACATTCAAGGTTCTTCTAAATTTAAGTTGTAACGTCCTAGCTATATCATAATATCATGTCTCAATTTTATCGTTTTGCTGTAGTCCACATGGAAGTTCTTTTTGCCACTTTGTTTATGTTAGTGGTCACAGGGATCCTCTCTAATTGACATTTTTAATTCCAGTTGACGAGTACTTGTACATTAATTAAAGTATTTCCACTTGTAAAGTATGATTGATATTTGTAGTTTCAAAATTGCATCTTTTTTGCGGCCTTGTGGGTTGCTGCAATCAAGATCTGGTTGTAACCTGTTAGAACTTTTTAGGGATGAGAAGTTGCAAACTTGTAGTTTCATAGGTTCCTGACATAATTTGGAATAATGCACTGTCCTAGTTCTTTTGTTTCGTGTTGTTTCCCTCACTAGTAGCCATGATAAATGGTGTATGCTAGCTCTGCCACACACGTTAGTCTTTGTTTTAAGTCATGCTCAATGCAGCATTTTGTGTGTAATTCTGTGAAATACTATAATTAGGCATATAATGTCTTGTTTAACCTATTGACTTGCTCAGTATTTATTGTGTAGTATTTCTTATTTCATCCAAGTAGCAGTTGCGTGTTTAGATATATAAATGTTCTGTTGCTACTTATGGCTGTCGTTCAATCTTATTTTTAGCTACAACGTCTCTCCTGCAAATCTCCCTGATACCCTGTTCAAGTAGTCATGTTTAAGCTGCATAGGGAGCCTTTGGATCATTAGCTCACCTAGTTAGGCTAGGCTCCACTGGCCTGTTTGAGCTATACCCCACCCAGGCGGAGCTACTTGTTTGATATGTGGTTAGCTAATCCAACCTGAGCATATTCAAGCAGCAGTATCTTCACCCACTAGCAGGACAACAGTTTAACTCTGCATTTTTCTCTGTTATTGCTGTCAGAAGAGAGCTGCGTAGGCTCTCCCAGTGGAGTAAAGATTTTCTAGCCCAGAATTGCTTGGTAAAATTAACTTTCCTCTACCAAACACCCAGGGTTAGCATTAACATTTAGGAACTAAACACACCTGCAGTGTTTTCCATGTGTTGCCCCAGTCAACCAGAGGTCAACTTTAGTTGTGCAATTTCTTTTGCTCTATGCCACCGTAGTGATAGTGTGCTGATGCTCCATATTTATGTTTTACCAAGTGCAGACTTTGAAACTAGTTGAATGTCTCTGCTAATGACTCCCTTGTCTATTTTTTAGATTGCAAGAAGTTTAAGGACTTGGTTGACGAGATCGCTGAGTCGCTTGCAAAGAATGAGGGCGGTGAAAGCGAAGAAGGTTCTTCTGCGGCTGGACTGCTGGAGAAACTTAGTGTAAGCGAAAGCAAACCTGAGGAAAGTGCAGCTAAGGAGGAATCGACTGATGCTAGCAAGGAGACAGAAACCAAAGCCGCAACAGCCCCCTCAGAGTAGTGGGCAGAGCAACACCCGTCACAATGGTACTGCTGAGCATTGCTCGGTGGCATGAGTCAGTTTGTCGGTCCTTCCTGTCGACGGAAGTTGGTAGTCGTTGACGATGAAATATGCTGAGAACTTTTTGTGACAGTCAGAAGGTGTCTTGAGCAGAGTCCATCTTCACCCCCGCTGGGTGTTCACGCGTCTGAGTATTTATTGTTATGTAAAATATCTGCTCGCATGGCTTTTGGATGGTGTTGTCTTGCTTTTGTCAAGAACTTGAAATGTAGTCCATGAGTATTGAGTTTGGAACATTTTGGGTTTGAATTGTGGGTATTTGAGTTGCATGTGCTGGTTATGGATTGCATACAGCTTATAAATTACTTGCTATATTATTTTTGCACATTTGATATGCCAGTTCCTTGTTGGTTTGTTCTTCTTACATGTGAGAAGCAGTTCCTTGGTTTGTTCTTATAAAGGTTGAAGTCAGTAGATTTGGATACATTAGAGCTGAAACTGTACAAAAGAAAACTTAGTTGTGTAATCTTCACGGAGCATATTTGGTGCCAGTTTATATTGTTTTTACTTTTTTTGAGGGAGTTCATATTGTTTTACTACTATGGCAAGTATCAGATCATCTACAATAGGACCCCTCGACCCTCCACGGCTCCACCTATATGTCCGGGTAGATGAGTCCTATGTCCATCTACTCGGTCATGAAAACCTGTCCTATGTCCGGGCTGTGGCACTTGAAAAATCCAACCCATGTGTGGGTGGATATAGGGACGGGAATGGTCCATTCCAAATCTCTTCAAGACGTCTCCGTCCTAGCTTGAACTGCCCTCTCTCCTCTCACCCGTCTCTTCCGCACAGTTGTCACCGTAGATCCGCCGCCACCCTAGCTACATCATTGTCTGGGTGCCCCAACCCACAAAGTCGCCAACCCACAAAGTCGCCAACCGTGCTGTCACCGGACAAGGTCTTATATGTCACTCTTCCGGACATACACATTGGGCTCTATGTGTTTGACGGAATGTCTAAGTAGTTTTTTTATTCTTCTGCTCATTTTTAGGCGGCGATGGATTTGTTGGATGATGAGTATGGGAAGAAGGATCTTCACAAATTTTGTCGATTCGTCAGATTTGGACGGAGAAGATGCTGAAATAATGACGTTGATGAAGATCCGTGAGGAATTGGAGGCAAGAGGAGCATGTTCTAAACTTTAGGGTTCGATAAAGGGCAGAAGGGTTGTTCCTCCGGGATAGGATCATTGGCGCAAAGCTTTTCTACAAGGACTACTTCAAACCGGACCCAACATCCAAGGTTTTTTTCAACATCACTTTTAGATGGGCAGAAATAAGTTCTTGCGCATAGTGAATGCAGTGGAGGAGGTTGATGACTACTTCAAGTTGAAGAAGGATTATTGCGGATAACTTCCGTTCTCTCCTCTACAAAAATCATCGCTACTCTCATGATGTCGGAGTAATTAGCCACGGGTAGCCTTATCAGCTCACCATGGCGTTTCAAGACATCGGGGCCGACTGTGCCCCTCAAGAATCCAAGACCAAAGCGTCGCCTTCTCTCGCCGGCTGGTCCAGGCGGCCAACTGCTAGAAGGCAGCATGACCCAGCAGGCGGCCTCAAGATGGGCCGACTCTTGGGAGGCGGCCCCAAGCTTTCTTAGAGTTTGCACCCTCATAAATATGATGAGACGGGGCGTGGCTACCGCACGCCTCGCCGCCCCTAGTCTAGGGCATAGTGATAACCCACAAGTATAGGGGATCACAATAGTTTTCGAGGGTAGAGTATTCAATCCAAATTTATTGATTCGACACAAGGGGAGCCAAAGAATATTCTCAAGTATTAGCAACTGACTTGTCAATTCAACCACGCCTGGAAACATAATATCAGCAGCAAAGTATTTAGTAGCAAAGTAATATGATAGTAGTGGTAACGGTAGCAAAAGGTAACAGTAGTAAAAGTAATGTTTTTTTGGTATTTTTGTAGTGATGATAGCAATAGCAACGGAAAAGTAAATAAGCAAAGAACAATATATGGAAAGCTCGTAGGCAATGGATCAGTGATGAAGAATTATGCCAGATGCGGTTCATCATGTAACAATCATAACCTAGGGTGACACAGAACTAACTCCAGTTCTTCGATGTAATGTAGGCATGTATTCCGAATATAGTCATATGTGCTTATGGAAAAGAACTTGCATGACATCTTTTGTCCTACCCTCCCGTGGCAGCAGGGTCCTTACGAAAACTAAGGGATATTAAAGCCTCCTTTTAATAGAGTACCAGAACAAAGCATTAGCACATAGTGAATACATGAACTCCTCAAACTACGGTCATCATCGGTAGGTATCCCGATTATTGTCACTTCGGGGTTAACGGATCATAACACATAATAGGTGACTATAGACTTGCAAGATAGGATCAAGAACTCTCATATATTGATGAAAACATAATAGGTTCAGATCTGAAAATCATGGCACTCGGGCCCTAGTGACAAGCATTAAGCATAGCAAAGTCATAGCAACATCAATCTCAGAACATAGTGGATACTAGGGATCAAACCCTAACAAAACTAACTAGATTACATGATAGATCCCATACAACCCATCACCGTCCAGCAAGCCTACGATGGAATTACTCACGCACGGCGGTGAGCATCATGAAATTGATAATGGAGGATGGTTGATGATGACGATGGCGACGGATTCGCCTCTCCGGAGCCCCGAACGGACTCCAAATCAGCCCTCCCGAGAGGTTTTAGGGCTTGGCGGCGGCTCCGTATGTAAAACGCGATGAATCCTTCTCTCTGATTTTTTCTCCCCGAAACAAAATATATAGAGTTAGAGTTGGAGTCGGAGGAGCTTCAGGGGGCCCACGAGGTAGGGGGCGCGCCCCCCACCCTCGTGGATAGTTGGTGGGCCCCCTGGCCTTCATCTTTTGCAAGGATTTTTTATTATTTCCGAAAACTTGTTCCTTGAAGTTTCAGGTCATTCCGAGAACTTTTGTTTCTGCATATAAATAACACCATTGTAATTCTGCTGAAAACAACGTCAGTGCGGGTTAGTTCCATTCAAATCGTGCAAGTTAGAGTTCAAAACAAGGGCAAAAGTGTTTGGAAAAGTAGATATGACGGAGATGTATCAACTCCCCCAAGTTTAAACCTTTGCTTGTCCTCAAGCAATTCAGTTGACAAACTGAAAGAGATAAAGAAAAACTTTACAAACTCTGTTTTCTCTTGTTGTTGTAAATATGTAAAGCCAGCATTCAAGTTTTCAGCAAAGATTATAACTAACCACATTCACAATAACGCTTAGGTCTCAAGTTTACTCATATCAATGGCATAATCAACTAGCGAGCAATAGTAATAAATCTCGGATGACAACACTTTCTCAAAACAATCATAATATGATATAACAAGATGGTATCTCGCTAGCCCTTTCTGAGACCGCAAAACATAAATGCAGAGCACCTTTAAAGATCAAGGACTGCCTAGACATTGTAATTCATGGTAAAAGAGATCCAGTCAAGTCATACTCAATGTAAACTAACAATAATGAATGCAAATGACAGCAGTGCTCTCCAACTGGTGCTTTTTAATAAGAGGATGATGACTCAGCATAAAAGTAAATAGATAGGCCCTTCGCAGAGGGAAGCAGGGATTTGTAGAGGTGCCAGAGCTCGGTTTTGAAATAGAGGTGAATAATATTTTGAGCGGTATACTTTCATTGTCAACATAACAACCAAGAGATGGCGATATCTTCCATGCTACACACATTATAGGCGGTTCCCAAACAGAATGGTAAAGTTTATACTCCCCCTTCCACCAACAAGCAGCAATCCATGGCTTGCTCGAAACAACGAGTGCCTCCAACTAACAAGAGTCCTAGGGGGAGTTTTGTTTGCAATTATTTTGATTTAGTTTGCATAAAGTATGAGACTGGGCATCCCGGTGACCAGCCACTTTCTCGTGAGTGAGGAGCAGAGTCCACTCCTCTTGAGAATAACCCGCCTAACATGGAAGATACGGACAGCCCTAGTTGATACATGAGCTATTCGAGTATACAAAACATGATATTTATTTGAAGGTTTAGAGTTTGGCACATACAAATTTACTTGAAACGGCAGGTGGATACCGTATATAGGTAGGTATGGTGGACTCATATGGAATAACTTTGGGGTTTAAGGATTGGATGCACAAGCAGTATTCCCGCTTAGTATAGGTGAAGGCTAGCAAAAGTCTGGGAAGCGACTAGTTAGAGAGCGACAACGGTCATGAACATGCATTAAAATTAATCAACACCGAATGCAAGCATGAGTAGGATATAATCCACCATGAACATAAATATCGTGAAGGCTATGTTGATTTTGTTTCAACTACATGCGTGAACATGTGCCAAGTCAAGTCACTTAAATCATTCAGAGGAGGATACCACCCTATCATACCACATCATAACCATTTCAATAGCATGTTGGCACGCAAGGTAAACCATTATAACTCATAGCTAGTCAAGCATGGCATAAGAAACTATGATCTCTAGTTGTCATTGCAAACATGTTTATTCATAATAGGCCGAATCAGGAACGATGAACTAATCATATTTACAAAAACAAAAGAGGTCGAGTTCATACCAGCTTTTCTCATCTCAGTCAGTCCATCATATATCATCATAATTGCCTTTCACTTGCACGACCGAATATTGTGAATAATAATAATAGTGCGCGTGCATTGTACTAAGCTGGAATCCGCAAACATTTAATAAACATGAGAAGACAAGGCAATATGGGCTCTTTTGTCAGATCAACAATAATGCATATAAGAGTCACTTCAACAATTTAATCATGGTCTTCTCCGATCGACCCCCCAAAGAAAAGAAAAGAAATAAAACTATTTACACAGGAAAGCTCCCAACAAGCAAAAGAAGAACAAGAAATCTTTTTGAGTTTTCTTTTTAATTACTACTACAAGCATGGAAAGGAAACTAATTAAAAACTACAACTA